TCGTGCTGTGTTGGCCTGCACGTATCCGAGTCCGCCGAGTGGTCGTAAGCTGCACCTACAGATTTTCTCATCCGTGTATACGCCGTATTCACTTTCTCCGAGTGCTCCTCCTGTGAAATACCTATTAAGAGAGTTAAATAACTCATTTATATTTTTAGTGAACGGCCAGACTACGACTGACAAGGAGGTACACTCAGGTATTCGTCAAGGCTGTCCTCTAGTCCCGTTAATATTTAATCTCGCGGTGGATACCCTTGGTCAGAGTGTCATTCGGAGTTCTAAACTACTAGGTATACCAATTATCAGAAATCTTGAGGTAAGACACAAATACTCTGGTTCGTGGATGATAGCACAATTTTCATGGCAAATCTTCACGATATCGTCACTGTCAACAAATTTATCGATCATTTTTGGGGATATATCAGGACTCAGAACAAAAAAGAAAAAATGACTGATTGGATTAAACACAGCAGGTACGCCATCGAAATGGGCTGGATATCTTGTCTTACAACTGTGGTGTAGTGATTTCTCCAGAGCTGCGGATAATCGTCCGTCAACAAAGATGCGGCGCCGTCAGGATGCTCAAGCGAGGAGCACTCGGTCACCTGTTGTACGGCGACTCCATGGTGCGAATCCGGGACCTCTCGCACCCTAAGAAAGAATCATACCACTAGACCACAAGGCCACGCAAACGCAAATTCACACCCACATGTCGCGCCGCCAGCACGCACCCCACGCCACTCACACACGCTCTGCACCCCTTCTATCACGCTCTCCGCGCCAACACGTGCCCATGCCCACCCTCCTCGCTGACTTTAGACGCGTTTCTTCCCCGATCCCACACGATACATTTTTGAAGTGATGCCGTCTTTACAGGTGTGCTGGGCGTTGCGGTAGCATGCCACACGTGCCAGGAGCCAGGCAGCCACCACAAAGACACAGCAGGAGGCCCACACAACCCAAGACGAGCGAGTTCAGGAGGGACCAAAAAGGTGAGCAAAGAACAGGGCCTTGCCGGAGATCGAATCCGGGACCTCTCGCACCCTAAGCGAGAATCATACCACTAGACCACAAGGCCACGCAAACGCAAATTCGCACCCACATGTTGCGCCGCCAGCACGCACCCCACGCCACTCACACATTCTCTGCACCCCTTCTATCACGCTCTCCGCACCAACACGTGCCCATGCCCACCCTCCTCGTTGACTTTAGACGCGTTTCGTTCCCGATCCCACACGATACATTTTTGAAGTGATGCCGTCTTTACAGGTGTGCTGGGCGTTGCGGTAGCATACCACACGTGCCAGGAGCCAGGCAGACACCACAAAGACACAGCAGGAGGCCCACACAACCCAAGACGAGCGAGTTCAGGAGGGACCAAAAAGGTGAGCAAAGAACAGGGCCTTGCCGGAGATCGAATCCGGGACCTCTCGCACCCTAAGCGAGAATCATACCACTAGACCACAAGGCCACGCAAACGCAAATTCACACCCACATGTCGCGCCGCCAGCACGCACCCCACGCCACTCACACACGCTATGCACCCCTTATATCACGCTCTCCGCGCCAACACGTGCCCATGCCCACCCTCCTCGTTGACTTTAGACGCGTTTCTTCCCCGATAACACACGATACATTTTTGAAGTGATGCCGTCTTTACAGGTGTGCTGGGCGTTGCGGTAGCATACCACACGTGCCAGGAGCCAGGCAGACACCACAAAGACACAGCAGGAGGCCCACACAAGCCAAGACGAGCCAGTTTCAGGAGGGACCAAAACGGTGAGCAAAGAACAGGGCCTTGCCGGAGATCGAATCCGGGACCTCTCGCACCCTAAGCGAGAATCATACCACTAGACCACAAGGCCACGCAAACGCAAATTCACACCCACATGTCGCGCCGCCAGCACGCACCCCACGCCACTCACACACGCTCTGCACCCCTTCTATCACGCTCTCCGCACCAACACGTGCCCATGCCCACCCTCCTCGTTGACGTTAGACGCGTTTCGTCCCCGATCCCACACGATACATTTTTGAAGTGATGCCGTCTTTACAGGTGTGCTGGGCGTTGCGGTAGCATACCACACGTGCCAGGAGCCAGGCAGACACCACAAAGACACAGCAGGAGGCCCACACAAGCCAAGACGAGCGAGTTTCAGGAGGGACCAAAAAGGTGAGCAAAGAACAGGGCCTTGCCGGAGATCGAATCCGGGACCTCTCGCACCCTAAGCGAGAATCATACCACTAGACCACAAGTCCATGCAAACGCAACTTCACACCCACATGTCCCGCCACCAGCACGCACCCCACGCCACTCACACACGATCTGCACCCCTTCGATCACGCTCCCCGCACCAACACGTGCCCATGCCCACCCTCCTCGTTGACTTTAGACGCGTTTCGTCCCCGATCCCACACGATACATTTTTAAGGTGATGCCGTCTTTACAGGTGTGCTGGGCGTTGCGGTAGCATACCACACGTGCCAGGAGCCAGGCAGACACCACAAAGACACAGCAGGAGGCCCACACAAGCCAAAACGAGCCAGTTTCAGGAGGGACCAAAAAAGGTGAGCAAAGAACAGGGCCTTGCCGGAGATCGAATCCGGGACCTCTCGCACCCTAAGCGAGAATCATACCACTAGACCACAAGGCCACGCAAACGCAAATTCACACCCACATGTCACGCCGCCAGCACGCACCCCACGCCACTCACACACGCTCTGCACCCCTTCTATCACGCTCTCCGCACCAACGCGTGCCCATGCCCACCCTCCTCGTTGACTTTAGACGCGTTTCTTCCCCGATCCCACACGATACATTTTTGAAGTGATGCCGTCTTTACAGGTGTGCTGGGCGTTGCGGTAGCATACCACACGTGCCAGGAGCCAGGCAGACACCACAAAGACACAGCAGGAGGCCCACACAAGCCAAGACGAGCGAGTTTCAGGAGGGACCAAAAAGGTGAGCAAAGAACAGGGCCTTGCCGGAGATCGAATCCGGGACCTCTCGCACCCTAAGCGAGAATCATACCACTAGACCACAAGGCCACGCAAACGCAAATTCACACCCACATGTCGCGCCGCCAGCACGCACCCCACGCCACTCACACACGCTCTGCACCCCTTCTATCACGCTCTCCACACCAACACGTGCCCATGCCCACCCTCCTCGTTGACTTTAGACGCGTTTCGTCCCCGATCCCACACGATACATTTTTGAAGTGATGCCGTCTTTACAGGTGTGCTGTGCGGGGCGGTTGCGGTACCATACGTGCCACGTGCCAGGCAGACACCACAAAGACACAACAAAAGGACCACACAAGCCAAGACGAGCGAGGTTCAGGAGAAGGCACAAAAAGACGAGCAAGGTTCAGGGACGGACCGGAAAAAGGTGAGCAAAGAACAGGGCCTTGCCGGAGATCGAATCCGGGGACCTCTTGCACCCTAAGCGAGAATCATACCACTAGACCCACAAGGCCACGCAAACGCAAATTTCACACCCACATGTCGCGCCGCCAGGCACGCACCCCACGCCACTCACACACGCTCTGGCACCCCTTTCTATCACGCTCTCCACAACCAACACGTGCCCATGCTCACCCTCCTCGTTGACTTTAGACGCGTTTCGTCCCCGATCCCACACGATACATTTTTGAAGTGATGCCGTCTTTACAGGTGTGCTGGGCGTTGCGGTAGCATACCACACGTGCCAGGAGCCAGGCAGACACCACAAAGACACAGCAGGAGGCCCACACAAGCCAAGACGAGCGAGTTTCAGGAGGGACCAAAAAGGTGAGCAAAGAACAGGGCCTTGCCGGAGATCGAATCCGGGACCTCTCGCACCCTAAGCGAGAATCATACCACTAGACCACAAGGCCACGCAAACGCAAATTCGCACCCACATGTCGCGCCGCCAGCACGCACCCCACGCCACTCACACACGCTCTGCACCCCTTCTATCACGCTCTCCGCACCAACACGTGCCCATGCCCATCCTCCTCGCTGACTTTAGACGCGTTTCGTTCCCGATCCCACACGCTACGTTTTTGAAGTGATGCCGTCTTTACTGGTGTGCTGGACGTTGCGGTAGCATACCACACGTGACAGGAGCCAGGCAGACACCACAAAGACACAGCAGGAGGCCCACACGAGCCAAGACGAGCGAGTTTCAGGAGGGACCAAAAAGGTGAGCAAAGAACAGGGCCTTGCCGGAGATCGAATCCGGGACCTCTCGCACCCTAAGCGAGAATCATACCACTAGACCACAAGGCCACGCAAACGCAAATTCACACCCACATCTCGCGCCACCAGCACGCACCCCACGCCACTCACACACGCTCTGCACCCCTTCTATCACGCTCTCCGCACCAACACGTGCCCATGCCCACCCTCCTCGTTGACTTTAGACGCGTTTCGTCCCCGATTCCACACGCTACATTTTGGAAGTGATGCCGTCTTTACTGGTGTGCTGGGCGCTGCGGTAGCATACCACACGTGCCAGGAGCCAGGCAGACACCACAAAGACACAGCAGGAGGCCCACACAAGCCAAGACGAGCCAGTTTCAGGAGGGACCAAAACGGTGAGCAAAGAACAGGGTCTTGCCGGAGATCGAATCCGGGACCTCTCGCACCCTAAGCGAGAATCATACCACTAGACCACAAGGCCACGCAAAGGCAAATTCACACCCACATGTCGCGCCGCCAGCACGCACCCCACGCCACTCACACACGCTATGCGCCCCTTCTATCACGCTCTCCGCACCAACACGTGCCCATGCCCATCCTCCTCGTTGACTTTAGACGCGTTTCGTTCCCGATCCCACACGATACATTTTTGAAGTGATGCCGTTGTAACGAGTCTCAGGACGCCTGCTCGCCGGCGGGTCGCACCGCTCACAGCCACCGTCTGTAGGTGAACTACCAGGGTTCCGAGGCTCGTACGCAATGAACACTGTACTGGATGCTCTCAAGCCGCCGGGACGCGTCCGTCCCTATTTGTATTCAACTCAACCACTCTGCTCTACTCGATGTAGAGCTCTCAACTCAACCTCAAACTCAACTGCGTCTTACTGCTCAGCCCTGCCTCTTACAGGACCGCGGCTCACCGCGCAGACACGCTTAGGGGCCACCGAGGCAGTCACACACACGTCGAACCCTGTGTCCGCCGCACTGGTCACCGCCGGTAAGCCCGCGTGCAACAACAATCAGACTCGTCAAAGGGCTAACCCCTTCTGACTCGCCCGCTTCCTCGAACCACAACCACCACCACGAACGGCTCCACCCCGTCGCTCTCTGCCCAACTACCCACTCGCTTTGTGCCTTACGGCTCTGCTCAAGAATGCCAGGCAGCTCTGCTCGCCCGACACTCGACTCTTTCTCGCGCTTCTCCGGCTGTGCTCGCAACGACCTGCAAGTCCTGGGCCTAAACACGCGCTCCGCAACTGACGCACCACTTTGCTCGTACTCGAGCCACTTGCGCCTCGCGGATCCAATTCTTAACTGAGCTCGAGCCGCCGCTCGCCGCTCAGTGTCCCCATCACGTTCCGAATTCTCGGTCGACTTCGACGTGAAGCAGCTGCTCTACTGGCTTCTTACAGTGCTACACTTCGTCGTCTCACCACCTCGTCCTTTCGCTTATTGTTCTGCTAGGGCCCACTACCGCACACTCATCGCCCTTCGATAGTAACGGTCAGTGTCGTACCCACTGCAGCTGTGGGTACAGACTGTACCGTACCGTGGCTCTTCTTGTCACGCGAGCCTCTGCCGCTCACATTCACCGCTGGTCCCGTGAACTGGCGTCGTCTCCGCTTCCCCACGAACGAGCTGCCCGTGTTCCGCGCCGGGTTGCAGCTGCCCGCCTTCAACAGCAAAGACCCGCTCAGTCCCTCGTACTAGTGCCCTGTTACACGCCTTCTTCAATGCCAGAGTCTTCCACGACTCTGTCGTCGTGAAAGAGCTGGTCGTACTCCGACGTGGAGAACCAACGCTCGTCACTTCCGGTCTTAGTGCCGCTGCATCGCGCGTCTCGCAGTGGTCGTAATAGGTATTTGAGCACGTATTGTCCGGCCTGGTTACGTCGTCGTCTCCGCCTGAGTTCCACCAGCAATCCACGCGGTTCGTGCCCTGCTCCCTCACGCACCATTGCTCCTTGGTCTCGCTTTCGAGCGCCTGCCGCCATGGTCGTCTGGACAGGAGCAACCGTTGCTCGAG